GCCCCAGCCCCGCCCCGTGTGATGCCCCCCGCCTCCAACTTGTGGCCACGCCCTGGCCTCGCACCCAGCCCCGCCCCGTGTGGTGCTCCCTGCCCCCAGCTCGTGGGCATGCGCTACCTGCACGAGGTCCTGAAGCCCACTGTCAGCCGCGTCTTCGAGGAGAAGAAGTACATGGAGCTGGACCCTTGCAAGATGGACCTGGGCCGCGCCAGGTGGGTAGAGCCCAAAGGCAGCCCTGACCCTCCTGCAGCCCCCTTCCCTCCTGTAGCCTCTGCAAGGTCTGGGCTGACTGTTGCCCTACCCTGCAGGCTCGCTGTTGGAGCTCCATGTTCAGTCTCAAAGCTTCATGCAGGAACACCTGGCTCCTTGGGCTGTGTAGTGTAGTGGTTATGAACAGGGCCCCCAAGCTGAGTTCCCTGGGTTCAAATCCTGACCCTGCCATTATGTGTGGGTGGCTAAGTTAGACACCTTGTGTGTCCCATGTATTTCTTTGTTTATGAGAGGGAGATAGAGGTTTCTGGTGATCTCACCGTGTCGTGATTTTCTGGACCCACCCCCCAGTGAGCTAGGACCACAGGCACACCTGCTAGTCCGTTTTGGGCTGGGGACTGAACCTGGGCCTCTCATGTGGCCCTGCCTCGCACAGTGACTCCTGGCCTCCTGTGTCACTGCAATTGGGCCTGTGCCTGTTATTTCCTATGAAACGTGGGGCTCATGACACCCACTTATGCGTTGTGGTGAGATTAGCTAAGTCGTGTACGTCAAACCCCATGCCTGGTGCATGCACTGTGGGTATTAGTTGTTTTTTATGATGGTGTTGGCTGAGACCTTGGGGAGGGCTGGCCTGCAGAGGTGGGATCCCAGAGCCCTTGGAGAGATTGGGAGGTAGCAGGAAACAGCCTCAGAGGGGGGCAGTCATCTGCCAAGGTCACACAAGCCAGGAAGTTGCAAAGCGGGGACTTGAACCCAGGCTGCGAACAGAAGGGAGAAACTCTGAAACTCCAAGGTGAGGGCTTTTTCTAGCACACCTGACCAGGATGGAGGGTCACGCTGGGCATCCACAGGGAGGGTGTTTTTTTCTGGGGACCTGGGGGAGGGGGGTACAGGTGGCCTCTGGAGGTGGCAGCCCTGGGTTTCGATGTCAGCAAAGTAACCTCGGGAGCCTTAGTTCCCTTATCTGTTAGACGGGCCCAATCGGGCTCTGTAACCCATTGGGTTGCCATTAGGATGAAATGATGAACACCGGGGACAATTAGTCCAGGGCTCTGCTGTGGGTCCAGGACACAGGGGTGCCCAGAGCCCCCAGCCTTTCTTCCACGGCATTCTCAGCAAGACAGACGCTCCCACTGTAAAAGAGGAAGGCAACAAGATCTTCGCAGATAGGAAAGTGCTTCCCCATCATCCACTCAGCGAACCAGTGTGGAGTTGAGGGCCAGGCTCTGGGCTGAACACTCAAGATATAATGGACAGGGACCAGCAGGTGGCATAATGGCTACGTTGCTGGACTTCCATGTAGTCGACCGCAGTTCGAGTCCTCGACTCGGTGGCTTAAACTCATGCCAGGTGCACGGGTGTGTGCGTGCCCAAGATCCCGAGAGGAGAACAGAGGAGGAGGGATTGCAGTGTGGCCTTCCTCTCTCTGGGCTGAACACTCAAGATATAATGGACAGGGACCAGCAGGTGGCATAATGGCTACGTTGCTGGACTTCCATGTAGTCGACCGCAGTTCGAGTCCTCGACTCGGTGGCTTAAACTCATGCCAGGTGCACGGGTGTGTGCGTGCCCAAGATCCCGAGAGGAGAACAGAGGAGGAGGGATTGCAGCGTGGCCTTCCTCTCGGGGGGTGATTTCCCGCTTTCTGTCTCTCTGTCTAACTCTGTCTCTCTAGCGCGTGCACACGCCCTGTAGCAAAACCTCTCAAAAATAAATAAATAAATAAATAAAAGATACAGTGGGCACACACGGAGTGTAATCGGTGCAATGAAGGAGCAGTGCATGGCAGGGAGGGGCTCGTAATACTCTGGAGAGGACAGGGACAGCCCCACAGGAAGGGGACGCCAGGCAGTGAGGAAGGGCGTCAGGCGGAGAGCTAGTGGAAGCGTCTTCTAGGCAGGAGGCTCTGCAAGGCTGAGGCCCTGAGGTGGGAAGGCATGTCTGGCATGTCCTGCAGAAAATGCACTCAACCTGGCCCTGATGAGCCAGGGGAGAGGACAGTCACTCTGGAGAGGTGACATTTAAACCGAATGTGGTGGCCTAGAGTGTTTTCGGCAAAAGGAACAGCAAGCAGGAAGGCCCTGGGATGGGACAGCAAGAGGCTGGTTGGGAGTGGTAGAGGGAGGCTGCGAGTGAACAGAGGGCCATGGGAGCTCTCTGAGCTCAGTGGGGCGGGGTGGAATTTGGAGCGCGCCCTGACAGTCTCTGCGTCTCTTCCAGGAGGATCTCGTTCAAGGGCACACCCTCGGAGGAGCAGGTGCGGGAGACCAGCCTGGGGCTGCTGATGGGCTACCTGGGGCCCATTGTGGATGCCATCCTGGGCTCTGTGGGGCGCTGTCCGCCCGCCATGCGCCTGGCCTTCAGGCGGCTGCGCCAGCGCGTGGAGGAGCGCTTCCCCCAGGCGGAGCAACAGGTGCGCTGGGCCCTCCCACTCAGCAGTGGGGAGGCCGAGGTGCGGGAGGGCGTGGCTTGTCTGGGGACTCACTGGGAGAGCCAGGGCAGAGGTGGGACCGGAGTCCTGGGTGCCCACTGTAAGATGGCAGGCGTGGGGTTGTGTTCCTGGCAGGGAGGGACCCAGGAATAATGATGATGGGGGCAGCTAACACTATATGCGGCCCGTGCACGGGCCAGGCCTCATTTTAAATACTTTATGAACTGGGACCAGCAGTTAGTGTAATGGCTATGTCGCTGGACTCCCACGTAGTCGACTATGGTTCGAGTCCTGGACCTAGCTGCTAAAACTCGCACAGGGCGCGTGTGCATGCGTGCCCAAGATCCCGAGAGGAGAATGGAGGAGAAGGGATTGCGGCGTGGCCATTCCCCCTGGGGGGTGATTTCTTGCTTTCTGTCTCTCTGTCTCTGTCTGTCTGGTGAGCGCATGCGCCCTATAGCAAAAACCTCTCCAAAAAAAAACTTTATGAACTCACCTCATTCATTTCCACCCTGTGAGTGGGTGCCCGCTTTATCCTTCCCATTTTACAGAGGAGGAAACTGAGGTCTACAGAGGCTAAGTCACACAGCCAGAAAGGGGCAGTACTGGGATTGGCACTGACCCAGGCAGTCTGGTTCCTGCTCTGTGCTTATATGCACCAAATAACAGAGTCTGGCTCTTCTTACATTTCAGCTGTGGAGGGGATGATCTGGCACACGGTCTGGGTGTTCAGTTGGAAATTCCCAGAGTGAGGTTGGAAAAGAAACCCTTGTACGTGCTGGTATGTTACTAACGTTGACATGAAAGCTGAACACCCAGCTGCTGTGGTTTTAGGCAGGCAAGGTAAATGAACGAATAGGCAAGGCGTGGGGCAGTAGGGAAGGGTGGGGACTGTGGCAAACTGGAGCTCCCCTAGCATATCTAAAGAGGGCAGCTCCTTGGGGCCGGCAGGTGGCATGGTGGCTAAAGGTGCTGGAGTCCCACATGGCTGACTGTAGTTCGAGTCCTGGACCTGGTGGCTTCCTTTCTCACTTTCCCAATCTCTCTCTCTGATCCAACCAGAAAATAATAATAATAAAGTTAAATAAAGTAATTCTTTTATAAAAAAATTTTTTGAGAGGTTTTCGCTATAGGGCGCGTGCACTCGCCAGACAAACAGAGCGAGACATA